GGGGGGGGGGGGGGGGGGGGGGGGGAAGTGTTGGTCGGACGATTCGTGGGGCCGGGAGCGATGATGGGCATCGGCGTGGCATGGCGTGGCACATAGTTTAATCGCCGTCGATGGCGATCAGCGGTACAGTTCACTTTGTCGCCCTACCACGCACCCTCGAAATCCAGCTCATGGTTCCATCCCCATCCCCCCGCCGGTGAGCTTGTTTTCAGTCCTTCTGGGAACGGGAGGTCCATGGCGCGCAGCCGAGCCAGCCAGCCGAGCCAGCCGAGTCCCACGACATGCAGGCCCACGTTCGCCACGCTGGCCTCGCTGGCCACGCTGCCTCCCCCCGCGCTCCGCTGCTAGGGTCCACCCCTTTGCGTCTGTTCTGGCTGGCTGGCTGAGGCCGAGAATAGACATGGCTGCACCGTGCGTTGCACGACACAGTCAGCGAGGAGGCTGCTGGATGCGGTCTATGCTTTGCGTTCCCATGCACGGGTGTGCGACTGGATCCGCGCCAGCTGGCAAACCCGCAAGCACCGAGAGGGCAGCAAGTGAAAGCGTGCGCCTTTTTTTGTTTTTTGTTTTTTTTTGTTTTTTGTTTTTTTGTTTGCACCGTCCTCTTGTCTCACTGCACTCTTCGCAGTTTCCTGCGGAAGAAGGCTTCCTTTTTTGCTTTTTCTTTTTTTGGGTCCGATTTCTCTTTTCTTTTTTTCAATGATTTGCTGGTTGAGCAGAGCAATTTTGAGACAGGTTCCAGGCCAGTTTTGCACGTGGACCTCAGTTTGGGGGGGGGAAGCCAGGCTGGCCAGACCCTGCACACCAGCGCGAGTGGGAATTCAAGCACCGCCACGTTCGGCGGCTTCCGACTTTTGGTACGCTGTGGAGGTCTTGCTGGCCGAGTGCCACGGCTCGGTCGGCCCGTCTGCCCGTGTTCTGACCCGCGCTGGTGGCCGACACCACTTCTGCCAGAGATCAGGCTAATTTCGACCGTGGGTAAAGTTCTGAATGCTCTTGCCACGATCATTCCTCTCTTCCTGGGTTCGTGCGGCCCGAAACCCTGCCACCGGCGTTTCCTGGGACAAAGCGAACCGAGCGAGCACCAAGCATTGTAGATATAGCCGGTTCCTGTTTGCGAGGCAGACGGTGTGCCGAGGAGCCGGGGCAGGAACGTCGTGCGATTCGCCTTACGGTCGCGCATGGCCATGCCGCCGAGCGAGAACAGTGTGGCGGCGCGCCGCATACAAGGCCAAGACAACAACGCAGCGACACGCGGGCGCCAACGGTCCCTGCGCCACGGCCCCGTTGCCGACTCGCCACGGCTAACCTGCTCACGCCGTCGAGCGAGCAAGGTGCCACGAGGTGCCAGACTCAGCGGATGCCGCGATCTCACCCTTGACTGCTCCCGTCGCCCAACCCGACTGCGGGTGACTCAAATCGCCCAGCGAGCCTAGCCTCGAGTCGACCTGCGTCTCCGCTTGAATGCTCGGCGCGAGCGCGCGTTGAGGGTCAGCCCAGGCACGCCTGAGCGCCATTTTGACCGCCCACACTGACGGCCAACCATGCGTGCGGCTCTCGGCGGGGCGTTTTTAGCTGCTTCAGCCCACCGGCATTGGCCTGCTTGCATTGGCGTGGTAAAGCGTTGCCATGGAGCGTGGGCACCCAGTGCAAGAGAGAGAGAGAGAGAGAGCCAGAGAGGGAGAGCGAGGTGCATCGAATTGCCTTCCGTGCACACCTTCTTTTTTACGCCCATTCGGGTTGACTGACGATTCTCGCTCGCCTCGGCTTGGGAAATGCACGCCCACGCACCTGCAGCGAGCTGCACCTCCGCTCCAATCGAGGGGAGTTTCTGCTCTTTTCCCTCTTTTTCTCGGGGTCTAACCCGGTTCCGAATTGCGATTTTCTTGACCCTTTTCTTCCTTTGGCGTGGCATGTGGGCACTGCACTGCACTGCACTGCACTGCACT